TTCATTACCAAAAACAAATTTAAAATAATTAAATTACTACTAATCATAGTTTATTGTTTTTTATGAAGGTTGATTTCGCTGTGAACCAATGTCCGTTGTGCTCGTGACATTAAATTATATAATATGACAATAGAAATTGAAGCCTTTATTTGAAGTATATAGCTGTCTATTTGTCAACATGATCAGACTAGTGGGGTGCCAGACCCCCCATGAAACACCCTATGTCTGACGCGAAGCTCAGTATGTTACAATAATAACCATCATACAACTAACAAAAGATTTCTTTATATGCCTTACGATGTTGTTGATACTGTGGAAATCTATCAAATTGTCTATCCAATAGATTGCAATATCTTCATAGGTATTACCTGATATTGAATGGTTATTGTAGCATAGTAGTTTTCTACATGGGGTATCTTACATTACATTTTGTAAGATATTCATTGAAGGTAACTATGGTTAAAAAGTGTGTTCTGCTTTTTTCATGAATGTATTCTTTCTATATTTGTTTCTAAATAGATCCCTGTATTGTTTATTATATATTTGTTGTATGTTGACCTTATATTTGTCTTATTAATAATATCATGTTAAGCGTATTAACATCGTCTTACGTTAAATTTATGTCTCTTAACCCTCTTGTAAACATTCTTGCCATCTTGAAAAACTAAGGTTGTAGCTTTGTAAATTTGGCTGCTTGCCGTTTGAATGAATAAATAAATAAAGTTTTAGATATTAATGGTCAATTAATAAAATAAAAAATATAATATTCTGGTAATTAATCACAAGAAAATCATAAAACTGGTTTTGCATAGCCTACTCCTACAATAAGTAATATTTTATAATGATTAGGTGTGTGTGTAAAGTAAAATTTTATTTAAGTTATTGGTAGCATATAAAACTTGTTATAAATAAACTATGGATCCGTTATTTTATGTAATTTAGATATTTAGATTTTTGTACTTCTTTGTATTATAACCAGGTGCAAAAGCGTAATGCTATGTTTGCTTTAGGTAATGAGGGTAAGAGTATGTCCACAGTAGTTAAGTTGATGTTTGTAGCCAAAAGTAGCACTGGACCGTTTAATTAGGTACACATCTTAAATGTGTGAGGTACACATAAATGCTCGTGCAGTCTTTGAAGCGTAGAATTTCAGTAGCTTTTTCAGTAGCTTAGTTTGCCATACAAAGAGTTGGGTCATTAACAATTTTCGTTTGGGCATGTTTTCTTTAAAAACTAAAAAGGGCTGTTTAAAGCTTTAATTATTAAAATCTATAATATTGTCATGAATCTTTATATTATGCTAACTGGTATCCAAGCTGTTTGTTCTAAAACTCTGTTTCTAGGTTTGTTAAGGGATATAAATACATAGTCGTAACGTTTGTTTAGACATTTAAATCGTCGACAGAATATGTCATCAAACAATTCATAATTAATGTTTTTCTGTTAAATTATATAAATTTATTACAAGTTTTGTAAAAATAAAAAATATTTTTAGAATTACAAATTTAAAAATTTTTGGCACCAAACAATGACGTTAAAGTAATTCAAAAAAGTGTTATGTTACACAAATGATTTGTTAGTAAAATTTTCCAAAGATTATTTAATGAGGATAAAAGAATATACAATATGTAATAGTTATTGTGATTTTGAACGAATGGTTTGTTGTTTTGTGCTAACAACCCGGAAAGCAAAGGTTAATACAATGGTTACATCATGTTGAAACGTAAACTCCATTAATTACTGTGAAACATGAACTGTCTAACTTGATTTACCAATTAACTTAATTTATGAATGATTTTACAATTTATAACAACACGAAAAATTCATGTTTTTTTATTTTTTCATAAATATAAAATGGAGACAAGCTGAAGCGTTCGGTACTAAGTTAGGAACACTGTTTGAACAAAGGGGAATTAAAAATTAAATTCCTGACTTTGCTACCAAACTGAATAATTGCTGGTTCAAAAGATATTTGTTAATATAGTAGAAAGCAAGTTTATTGATCTGTCTAAGCAGTGAGTTACTACTGGAAAAATAATAAATTCATTTGAGTTCAGAAAATATTATAATAATACAAAATTAAATTAACCCTTTACAATAAAAATATTAAAATCAAAACTATTCTCTTGCTGAGATATTTAAGTCCAAATTGAAATAGACAGAGAGGAATGATGTGTAGAGATGTACTCACGACCTCGAAGAGAAGAAATTATCGAATGTTCGTTAATACCAAGTAATGGAGATTAACACTTCTTGAGAAAATAAAATATAACACTGTGTGCACACAAACTTCTGGTGAATGTTCCTCACGGTTAAATAAAACTTCTGTAGAAACAATAGAGTCAATAATTGATGATTTAATATGGGATACTGAGACCCATGGTAAAATAATTAGAGGGATTCAGAGACCCTCATAATGTTTGATTCACATGAAGACTGCATAGTAACTGAGTGAGTTGGAGCAGTGTACAGGAAAAACCACTGGTCAGTCTATATCATGTCGGCTGGAACTGATAAGCAGGATACGCAGCACATTCCTCTGCAATGTCTGCCTATCTCTCTCTCTCTCTCTCTGTCTGGCTTAACTTAATACAATTTTATTTTATGAACTCACTTAAAATATTATTCTGAATTGAACCAAAAAGTGCAGTGATTTATTTACACACAAAACATTTAAATATCTATTATTTAAATGACAAAACAAGTATTATTTTATTTAAAATAAATTTAAGTTTAGACCTAATTTGAGAATGCTCAAACATACCGCCCACCGAAATTTCAAAGGAAATTTCTAGCATCTTACTTAAAAGGGTCAGAATTGATTGAAAGAAGAGGTACCAATTTCACAGCTGGACGTTGGAATTCAGAGTCACTGGTCTTGACAGTCATCACTCGAACAATTCCATCACTGCCTGGGTGAGTCTTGATGATTCTTCCAAGAGGCCACTGCAAGATAGGTACATTTTGATCCTTAAGAAGAACCAAGTCTCCGATTTTAGGGTTTGTAAAAGATCTTGTCCATTTTCCTCTCGCTTGCAGGATGTTCAAGTATTCCACTCGCCACCTCTTCCAAAAATGTTGAACCATCTTGTGGACTAGTTGCCATCTTGTAAGGACGTTTTCTCGAAGATCAAGAAGAGAAGGTTCGGGAGGAGCAACAAGAGGACATCCAACAAGAAAGTGTCCTGGAGAAAGAAAATTAGTTTCTTCTGGACTAGCTGACAAAGGACAGAGTGGTCTTGAATTCAGAACTGCTTCTACTTGGGTGAGCAAGGTTGACCACTCTTCATAAGTCAAAGCAGTTTCTCCAGCTATCTTCCTCAAATGTGTCTTTGTTGATTTAACTGCCGACTCCCACAGTCCACCAAAGTGTGGGGAATAGGGAGGATTGAAATTCCATTTTACTTCCAGTTTAGTAGTTTGCTGTAGAATTTCTTCTTGTGTAGTCTGATTGGAGTACCATAATCCTAACTCTCGAAGACGATTAGCTGCTCCTCTGAAGTTGGTTCCACAGTCGGAATACACTTGTTCAGGAAGACCTCTTCTAGAAATAAAACGTCTGAAAGCAGCCATAAAGGCATCTGTTGAGAGTGCGGTTACCAGCTCTAAATGTAAAGCTTTAGTAGCCATGCAGACAAAAACACAGATGTAAGTCTTGGCAGTGGTTGCTTTTCTTCTTAACGACTCTCTCATAGTCAAAGGTCCAGCAAAGTCAACACCAACATGTAAAAATGCTCGGCTTACATTCACTCGTTGCGAAGGAAGATCAGCCATCATCGGGGAAAAGGTTTCAGCCTTTAGCTTGAAGCACCTTAGACATTTGAAGGTTCGCTGACGGACAATATTTCTCAGTGATGGTATCCAAAATCGTAATTGAATCAGAGCTTGAAGCAAGTTGGGTCCTGGGTGTAGGTAGATTTTATGGTAATAATCTACCAACAATAAGGTGAAATGACACTTTGGCAGAAGGATTGGGTGTCTTTGATCTTCTGGGATAGCTGCATTATTTAGCCTGCCGCCCACCCTGAGTATCCCCAGTTTGTCAAAGAAAGGGGTAAGTTTATGAAACTTATTGAGGACAGCAGTTGCACATCTTCTGTCGCCATCAATAGAGAAAAAGTGTGATTGAATTTTCTTGATGCAGGTTAGTAAGGACTCTTGAATTTCCTTAGGCTGAAGGGGTCCTTTAAGACGACTAGTACTGTGTAGTTTAGCTTGACAATTGTAGATAAATCTTCTGATCCAAGATATTACACGTAAAAGTTTGTAGTATGAAGAATAGTTTTCCATCATCTTGATAAGCTCTGGCTCAGTACTATTTGAGACAAGCACTTGTGGTTCAGCTTTCACTTCAGGTAGGGGCTGCTGCTGGAACTGTACTGTAGACTCTGGCCATTTATCTTCAGGCATATTCATCCACTTAGGGCCATGCCACCATAGATCACAGTTAGTTAGTTTATCTGGTAAAAGTCCTCTAGAACCATGGTCACTTGGATTTTCCTCTGATTTAATATGTCTCCACGATGAAACAGGAGTATGTTCCAAGATATGTGCAACCCTGTTTGCTACAAAAACTTTAAGCTTGTAAGTTGGTGTATTCAGCCATCCTAAGACAATTGAAGAATCAGTGAAGAAAATAGGCTTCTGAAACTGATTACTGGTGAATTGGCTGAGGGTTTCCATAACAGAGTGGAACATTGTTGCAAGCAGGTAGGCTCCACACAACTCTAAGCGTGTGATAGACAGTGTCTTGACTGGGGCTAACTTAGTTTTGGCTGTTAGAAGGTTTGTAGTTATTTTGTCACTAATAACTCTCAGATAAAGTGCAGCACAATATCCTTTTTCTGAAGCATCAGCAAATCCTACTATTTGCAATTTGTATGGTTTGTCAGATGTTACAAATCTTGGAATACTAAGATGTTGCAGTTTCTCTAGCTGAGTAGTCAAGTCATTCCATAGAGTCTTCAAGTTAGTTGGAATTTCAGAATCCCAGTCCAGCTTCAATTTCCATAGGCCTTTGCAATCATTATCACAGGAGAAACGAATCCTAGAGGATCAAAAATCTTTGCCACAGCTGATAGGATAGCCCTTTTAGTAAACACAGGTGTAAATTGTTCAATCTGGTATGCAAACGTGTCACTTGAAGGGTTCCATTGAAGTCCTAGGATCTTGACATTTGAATCTTCACTAGATGAGAGGTTGATCTGTTTGATATGTTTTGAAGGATTGATTGCATTTAAAATTTCCTGAGAGTTACTGGCCCATTTACTTAGACCAAAATGACCTTTGTGTAAAAGATTGATTACTTCATCCTTGAGTTTCAAGGCTTCATCAACAGTAGAAGCACCAGTGACAAGATCGTCGACATACATGTCTTGAAGAATAGCCTTTGCTGCATGTGGATAGTCAGTCCCTTCATCGATTGCTAGCTGTTTCATGACTCTCAAGGCTAAAAAAGGTGCTGAGGTAGTACCATACGTTACTGTATTCAGTTCATATTTCTGAATAGCTTCAGAAGGATCAAATCTCCAGAAAATGTGTTGATATACCCTATCAGAGGGATGAACTAAAATCTGCCTGTACATTTTTATTATATCCGCCACAAAAACTACTGGATACATCCTAAATCTTGTCAAGATACTTTTGATGTCTTGCTGTAATTTTGGGCCTATCATAAGATGGTTGTTAAGAGTCATGTTAGAGTCAGTAAGGGAAGAAGCATCAAATACTACTCTGAGCTTAATCTGTGAGCGATCTTCTTTAGTAACAGAATGGTGCGGGATCACATATTTTGAAGTAGATGATGTGGGGCTCATGTGTTCCAGTTCAAGGTATTCTTTCATGAAATTGCAGTATTCAGACTTAAGTAGAGAATTCTTTGTCAGTTTTGTTTCTAGACTGTATAGTCTTTTCAGAGAATTTCTTTCAGAGTCACCAAGATGCTTTGGCTCACTTTTAAACGGTAGGCGAACAACGTACTGGCCGCTCTCAAGTCTGTAGTGAGTCTCTGTAAAATGCTTTTCACAAGCTAAATCTTCTGGGTTTTCTTTGACTGGGATAGAAGCAGGTTCCTCGAGTTCCCAAAATCGTTGCAGCTGATTATGAATATCATATTTATCATAAGCAAGGGTGAAGAAAGAAGCATTCATATTAGTGGATGATTGACAGTCAAGAACTCTCCCAATAGCAATGTAGCCAAAGACTGATGCAAACAGCTTGGGTTGGTTTTCATGAAGAGTAATCGAAGATCCAAGCCAAACATCTGGAAACAAGTCAGAGCCCAATAAAAACTCAATAGGTCCAGGTTCCCAAAAGTTAGGGTCTGCTAGTTCAAATTTGGTATATTCCGACCATAAGTTAGAAGGCATAGTGAAGTTGGGTAGGTATGAAGTAATATTGTTGATCACAACAGCTTCTGTTTTGAGGATAGGGGATTCCTGATTTTTTGGCTTCAGATGACAAAGTGCTTTGCCTTTTGCACCATCAAATATGGTCTGGCCAATAGCCGATATCTTCTTTGGATATGGAGTTGTCGATAAACCAAGTTTGGTGAGGCATTTGTGAGTTATGAAGGAATGTTGACTTCCTGAGTCTATCACTAGACGTATGGGTTGAAATCTTCCGGAAGCATCTTTTATCTCAGCAACTACAGTACCTAGCAATATGTTGCTATGTTGAGGAAGAGTTGCGGTCAAAGACGAAGTTGGTGCACTAGTAGCATTATCTTTCAGTTCTTCATCAGCTGAGGTTGGAATATGTAGTAACGAGTGGTGTCTCTTCTTGCAAAATTTACAAGTCCACTTTGAGTTACACTTTCCTATAGTGTGGTTGGCATACAAGCAATTTTTACATCCATGCCAATTTTTTAACATCTTGTGTCGCTCATCAACTGTTGCATTCATAAAATCTTTACATCTCCAGAGTGTATGACTACCACTGTTGCATAGAAAGCATGTGAAACCTTTATTGTTATCTTTCGATTGCATGTTATTTCCTGGTGAGTTAGCCAAGAGTGTAGCTCGCATACCACGGCTAGAAGATCTAGTATTATATCCTTTAATAGCGCCACTAGGCTTCGCAGAGTTATTGTCATGTGAGGATTGATGAGAATTTCCAAGGGCGAGCTGTAATGCTAGGCATCGTTCCCGTAGAAATTTTGTAAGATCATCAAAGACAGGAAAATCTTTATCTTTGTGTTGAAGTTCAAACTGTTCTCTGGTCGCAGAATCTAATAATCGAACAGCAATATGAAACAATACAAAATCTGCTTCATTTGGAATTTTTAGCAGTTTAAATGCTGCAATATTGTCTGAAACTTGTGATACAAAGTTCTGTAGAGAATCAATGGTAGGTTTGCCTTGCTGTGGCTTAAACTGGATGAGCTGATTTAAATAGTTAGAGGCTAGCATACGTTTATTATTAAACGTGTCATTCAATGCCTTCCATGCCAAGTCATAATTGTCTTCTATTAATGGCAAGTTACTTATAACTGCAGAAGCTGTGCCTACAAGTGAGGAAACCAGGTAATGGAATTTCTCCATTTTAGTCAACAAAGCATCATTATGAATAATTGATAAGAATGCATCACGGAATTTAGGCCAGTTTGTAATTTGTCCGTTGAAGTGGGGCAGATTGATCCGAGGTAAAATTTTATTTGATCTGTTTTCAGATGATATAACTGATTCATTAGGATTAATGCTTTGGCGTGAGGGAGGTGATGTTGTCTGAACAAGAGCCATAAGTGCCTCATAGCTTGTGTGTGCCTCGTAGTAATAACGTTTGGCCTTAGTTTGGATAGTCAGATCTGCTTCGACAGGAAATTCTGAGACTTTTCCTTCATCTTCATGTAGGTCAATAAGTTCATCCCAAAGAGTTTCAAATTTGGAAAAATATTTCTCTAACACCTTAAACATACCCTTGAATAAGTTCACTTGAGCAGGATCTTTGAGAGCTGCTCTACCCTTCTCATTAATAGTTTGGACTTCCTTAGCACTATCTGATAATTTTCGCTTCAAGGCAGAAACCTTACGCTTAAAATCTTCTGCATCCATTTTCCCCTCAGAAATTGAATACCAAGAGAAAATTTAAATAATCAAAGGCACAAATGTTTGAGCAATCTTTACAAAAGTATGAACATGACAAGTACTATATACTTCAAGATAGTAAAAAAAATCAACAAAGAATACCACTAATTCAGAATGAAAGTAGATAAAAAAATTCACATCATGATTTGCAAAATTATTCAATAATGCTTGTAGCCTATATAATATTACAGTAGCACATAGAACAAGATTGTAGAATATAAATCAGCAATATTTATTTGTGTTAAGAAACTATTCAGCAGAAGAATATATTTTCAGATTAAATTCTCTAAACAACCCTAATAACTCTTAAAAATATTAATAAATCACAAAACCAATACTGGAGAAATGTATGAGCGTTTTACGTTTAAATATCTAATTTAATCTAAGACAAAATGAATACCAAATATTTTATATGATAACTACCTTTAAACAAACAAATTCTCAACTGTAATCTACAATAACCTTCAAATACAATTAACCTTACTTTGACAATTTAAAAATGACCTTAAATATGTTTCTTTAAAAGGATATTTTAATTTACAATTTTTTATTTATTAACAAATGACTAAGTTAATCCGGCTCGAAGGACCAATATGTTTGAACAAAGGGGAATTAAAAATTAAATTCCTGACTTTGCTACCAAACTGAATAATTGCTGGTTCAAAAGATATTTGTTAATATAGTAGAAAGCAAGTTTATTGATCTGTCTAAGCAGTGAGTTACTACTGGAAAAATAATAAATTCATTTGAGTTCAGAAAATATTATAATAATACAAAATTAAATTAACCCTTTACAATAAAAATATTAAAATCAAAACTATTCTCTTGCTGAGATATTTAAGTCCAAATTGAAATAGACAGAGAGGAATGATGTGTAGAGATGTACTCACGACCTCGAAGAGAAGAAATTATCGAATGTTCGTTAATACCAAGTAATGGAGATTAACACTTCTTGAGAAAATAAAATATAACACTGTGTGCACACAAACTTCTGGTGAATGTTCCTCACGGTTAAATAAAACTTCTGTAGAAACAATAGAGTCAATAATTGATGATTTAATATGGGATACTGAGACCCATGGTAAAATAATTAGAGGGATTCAGAGACCCTCATAATGTTTGATTCACATGAAGACTGCATAGTAACTGAGTGAGTTGGAGCAGTGTACAGGAAAAACCACTGGTCAGTCTATATCATGTCGGCTGGAACTGATAAGCAGGATACGCAGCACATTCCTCTGCAATGTCTGCCTATCTCTCTCTCTCTCTCTCTCTGTCTGGCTTAACTTAATACAATTTTATTTTATGAACTCACTTAAAATATTATTCTGAATTGAACCAAAAAGTGCAGTGATTTATTTACACACAAAACATTTAAATATCTATTATTTAAATGACAAAACAAGTATTATTTTATTTAAAATAAATTTGGGTTTAGACCTAATTTGAGAATGCTCAAACAAACACTATAGGCCTTAGACAAAAATCCACGATATAAATTAATTTTATAAGTTTATAAATGAATACTTAAGCCGTCCTGTGAAGACAATAAGAAAATTTATATTGTTTTTCATTTGTTTAAATGTCTTTTTGTGTGATAGTGAGTTTGCATTATCCAAAACATTAATGCAAACATTTGTATTCCTGTTTAGTAAAATACTTAAGGTCAACATCAAATATCATAATGGATAATTACCTAAATAACTTATTAAAAACATAAATACCTATATTAATATGGTCCATGTACTCCAGTTCAAATATAAGGGTTTTTGATTTTATCAAAATAAAAATCCGTTACAAAGGTTGGGTGATATAGTCGTTCAAAAATGCATAAAACGATTTAAATTGTGCTTGCTGGGACCTAAAAATCAAAAAGTCAATTTGTGCCAGCTCTATAATTATCTTTCCAAAACTAAAAAATCAGTTTCCTTATGGCATTGTTTAATTAAAAGATAAATGTAAGGGTTTGTGTCAAAGACATTCGTATATGATGTGCATATGAATTATTATGAATCATTGCTTTTTTTCCTTTATACTAAACCAAAAACAGTTCCACTTTTGCAAACAAGTAAATTAATAGAAGCTCGTTAAAACAAGCAAAACGTTACTCTGTACAACTTTAACAATCCTCGTTATAACTTTATGGCAGCAATTTTCTTCAGAAAGCTAGATTAAATAAACCCAGAGCATTATTGACATATTAAAATTGGGTTTTAAATAGTGTAAGCTCTTTCTAATAAGAGATCTTTCTTTTTCGGTTTTGTAACAAATTACAAGAACATTTTACATTTTTATTTTTGTTATTACCCATTAAACAAATGTCAAAAATAAAGATAAACCATACACACAGACATCACTGTGAACCCCTTTTAAGGGTTTTTTTGGGACCCCAACCCGGGTATTCCTACTCAAAACTTTAATATGGACATTTTAGCAAAACAAATACTTTCCCATATACTATGTATAGGAGAGAGTAAAATTTCAACATACTCAAGAGTAGTTGATATTATTGGCTTTGGTTTTCACAGATTGATTAACTCTTAGCTTCATTATTGTATCCTTTAAGCTTTCTTACCTTGTTGAATAATACGACGGAATGAAAAACCAGTCACTAAAAGGACGTTGTTACCACGATAGAAGACATGGAAGTACAACAGTTTTGACGTTTATTTTTGCAATGGTAAATGGCAAAAATAATTCATCAAACTGTTCGGTAAGCGACCGTTTTTAGTTCTCTAAATCGTCCAAAAATTCGTGGTTTTCGGGTAACTTCAAATAGGGAACAGAAAAAACATATGGTAAACTTTTTCAGTTCTTTAATCTCAAATTTGTATCAGTGCATTATAAAGATTATTCTAATCACACGACATTTAAAGGTGTGTTTCTAAACAACAGAAATTAACATTGATGACGACTATTTATAACCTTAGATTATGTAGTCTAGCTTTGTAACGATTAGAAGGTTGTTTACACATTATGGTAAAAATAATTGTTTATCACACGGAGCTAAAGTGTTTTTTGGTACTTAATCGAATTCCCAAGCTCGGCTACCAAAAGGTGTACCAAAAAGAGCCACTTTCGCTCCTATTCATGAAAACTACTATTAAGAGAACAAATATGCATGTGAAACATTTTTTGTATCTCTAAATAAATAAATCTCGAAATTTAATTTAGCAAAACAGCCTGTCTGAGTTATTTATACTACCAGGACAATCGTATGTTTTTATAGTCCGAAATTAATATTACATTTATTTTTATTACTTACCTTACCCCCTTGGCCATTGAAACCTCAGAAGGTTTTTGGCCTCGCCAACGATGCTTCTCCACTCTTCTCTATCCACCGCTGCCTCAGGAGTAGTGCCCAAAACAGCCACATCCTTCAGCACCTGACTCCTCCATCGCAGTCTCGGCCTGCCGAGTGGTCTTCTGCCTTCTGGTTTGTTCTGGTCCACAGCTTTGATCAATGATGAGTTCTCTCTCCTCCACACATGTCCAGCCCATCTCAGTCTCCTGCTTTTTATCCTTGCTACTACATCTGGATGGTGATACACATCTCTCAATTCTCTATTCTTCCTAATTCTCCAGCCTTCTTCATCTTGAATTGGTCCGTATATTTTTCTGAGAATCTTGTTTTCAAAAATAATAAGTTTCTTTTCCCATTCTTTCGTTAGTGCCCATGTTTCCGATCCATATAGTAGTACTGGAAGAATGACGGAGTGATAGATTTTAATTTTGGTATTTTTGGACAGAGTTTTTGACTTAAGCATATTGACTAGGGACCAGTAGGTTGCTGAGGCTACAATTACTCTATTTTGGATTTCTTTTTCCTCTTTGTTATCATGTGTTATTGTTATGCCGAGGTATTTTATAGTACAAATTAAACGTGTAGCACATTTACTGGAAATATACCGTAGAATTTCAATGTTTAGTTTAAATTAAAAGGTTTATAACACGTTTTAACAATTAAATGTTCGAAATTGTCAAAGTATATATATAACTATATAATATATTTATATAACTAAGTATACAATATAAAGTATGTATAACGTGTATTCCACAATACAACATTTCTGAGATTGACGTTGGTGCCTGGAGAGTTGGGTCTCAATCAGACTACGGTGTAACGATCTTATCTTTTATTGGTTACATCATTCTCCAAATAACGAGCTCAATTTCTGAATGTAAATCTGATATCATCCCACTAAAGTATTAACAAAAAAACCCTAACGACACTCTCCTTCATTATCTAAATAAATGTGTGCCCAATAATTTTGCTTCGCTAATATTATTAACAAAATAGGAAGACAACGACCGTATGGAGTTGCACTTGCTTACACAGTAGTTTCTTTAATCAAATGTTTGAATTATTATCAATGTTTTTGCACTTGTCTAATACAAAGTTTTGTATAAGTTGAAAGCCCATTACTCTTAACAATTCCCATTATAAATTAAACATTACTATCAGATATTATTTTTTTATCTCATGTTTAAACATTTTGATGATTAGAAGGGTTGACATTTTAGATACTGACGTAACACCTAGCAGTCCTTTGTATCTTGTTATTTCATTACGTAAAATGATGAATAAAGATTTGTTGCCTTAACGACATTTCAGTATAATATCGAAGAAGATGTTACAGTGACGTTTGGCTTGCGGCACCAACCAGTGTATTGGCAGATACAGAATTGAGCAATGATAATATCCAAACTTTATCTGTGATACTTTTGAAAATGTGGAGTGCAGCTTAACAACGAGTAAATAAAAGGCTTTTCTAACTAATGTACTATATTTAATATTACTCAAACTTTGTGTATGATTTAAAAAAGCAATTATTATCTTTAATAGATATTTTAGATTGATGTGTATGTAATAATAATAAATATGTCAGAAAAGCCGAAGAAAATAAACATGAATTATTACAATAAAATTATCTTTGAGTATTAGGTCTACTTACATTCATCAATAG